TCAAACGTATGTTGTTCTTGAATACGCCTCTAGTTTTGATTATTTGTTATGATATTTAGTTATGCCGTTGGCACTGCACATGGATTTACTATATTTAATTACAAACAAAATCGAATACTTGCTGCTAAATGTACACTTGACCCGAATGCTTTAGGAAATACATCAGCTGTGCCTTCATCAACGGGTGAATCGACATTAATACGTGGACGTTCTTTGAAAAAGTCTCTTCGAGAATCATTCCGACGTTTGCGCAAAGGACGAACAATTAAAAAAGCCACAATGATGTTAACACCGAAGCGAACAGATGAAAATAATCCATTATTCTCGACTAATATGCATTTAGAAGAAATTATTCGTGTACCTGTTGAAAGACAAGTTGAATTTAGAGAATTTAAACCTGTTGATGATCAAGTTGCCAGTATGGTTCGTTGTCTTTATTTTGCTAAAACCTATCTTAATAGTGGTAAAATTCTACAAAATAAAAATAGATTATTCGTTTTTCATATATGTTTTTCTTTCTTTTTTTTCTATATTGTATAGTCAATGATCGAACTCGTTCACTTTGGGCTGGTACCAATGGTGGTCATGTATACGTTTATTCTATTACTGGTTCAGAACCTCAATCAATAAATACATTAACAAATGGAACTCCTATTGCAACCGATCAAACAAGTATATGTTCGATGGGTAAGTTATTCTTTCATTTCATTTGACTTCGATTTGAATTTGTTGATTTTAGCGAAAGAGATTCGATTAAAACATAAAGCACCTGTGTTAAGTATTGTTGTACTTGATGCTTTCAATCAACCAATAGGACAAGGTTCTAGTATTTCAACGCTAGAATCAATATCGACAACTTCAAATGTGCCTGTATCAACACCAAGTCAGCCAGAAAATATTTCACAAGTTTCATCAACACCATTTAATTCACATAAAGTTCTCATTTGTTCTGAAGAACAATTCAAAGTATGCATTATTTTCTTGTCAAAACATAGTTTTATTTCGTTTCGTTTTTAAAAGGTTTTCACATTACCAAATTTAAAACCATATTGTAAATTTAAACTAACAGCAACAGAAGGTACTCGTGTTCGAAAAGTAAATATTAATCAATTTAGCCTTAAAACAGGTAAATATTTCTTAATGTTTTTATTTTATTTTTCATTGCTCTTCATCATTTGTTATTTAGATCATGTCAATGAATCTCATTCCGAATCATGTCTTGTGTGTTTGGATAATATGGGTCAAATAAGTATCTATACGTTACCAACATTGCGTCGTCAAATATTATTTAGCTGTATAAAAGCAAGTGATATAAATGCTTTGTCAAGCGTTCAATTCTCTCCTTTTGCACATGCTCTGTATTTACAATCATCATCTGAATTGGTTCAAGTTACATTTTCACCACAAACAATTTTACCTTATTCAATGTCAATTACATATGACAAAATTCAACGAAAGACAATACAACGATCTGATTTAGAAAAACCTGTTCGACCCATGAGTCCGGAAAAAACCTTATCAAATGGAAATGGAATAGAAGCTCATCTATCATCTGTGAAAATAAAATAAATAGAAAAGTTCCGAATAAAGTTTACCTTAATTCTTATCTCATATCTGTAAACCTTAACTTTAAACTTGAATAGTTAAAAACTCAAATCGAGTTAAAAAGTACGTTACAGTGTAATTCCACACATATCTCGATCATTTCTATTTCTTTTTTTTTCTTGATTTGATCTGCTCTTTATTCATTTCATTTTGTCCATTATTCTCATTTAGGTCACTGGACTATTTCTTTTTTTCTTCTATCTTTTCTTTTTCTTTTTATGTTAGTATATATATATACACGTGTTGTTTATGAAATAAACGGGTAAATATTTAGTAAGGTCAGACACACAAGACAAATCTATGTTAAATTTATGTTCTACCTCTCGTTATAGTAAGACGAGCTCTAACGATTGATAATCGTTTTACATACTAAGATCATAAAGAAAACACAACCACGAGTGTTACCATTGGGATACGTTAAGGTGTATCCCGTGTCACTCAATATGTCTATTTGACTCTACACATTTTAGCACTAAGAATCATGTTCAGCATTATCGAGAATTTCATGTCTTAAGATGAATATTATATTAGTTGTAAGTACTACTGTTTCAATGTAATTATTACTGGCCCTAGTTTAACAACTGTGTATCGTTTTGTTTTCATCAAGTACTATGGTACATAGGAGACTGTGCTGTCGTAAATCGTCGCGTTTCAACATGATTTACGAAAATATACTTCGAGAGTCTAATTATTAGAAAAGCAATGTTGCAATAGATAATAGAATGAAACTGTAGTAAAACTACAGCAAGATAGTTTTCTTTTTCAAATCAATGTCGAAGTTACATCACTTTATAGATTCATAGATTTCAAAAAAAGAAAACCATAAGAGAAACATTCTCATTAACAAGTGGCACAAAAAGAAGTAGGCATGCTGATTGAAAACACAATTTACCGTTAAATAGTTTCATTCAGTATGACTCTACTTAATTGTTATTTCAATAAATCAAAGCTGGAAAAAATAAGTCCTCTAAAGAAAAATATTACATTTGATAGTCTGATGCAACGAATATTTTTCAAAACAAAAAAAACTAATCTAAATTTTTTAACTATTGCACTTCCAAAATCATTGCAATGCGTATTGTGAACATGTTACGATATCAATAAAATTTGTTTATTAGATATTCGCGTCTCACATGTTTTTATAATAAGTTAGACTCATATTTACAATATATGTATTCAGCCTTAAAATAAAAAGATAGCGGATGAATATTTATGCATTTGCTCCTTATCTAGATCTAAGCAAGGCTTCAAAATAGTCTCGATTTTTGAAACCAGAATCAAGATATGTGGAAAAATTATCGTAATTGTAAATAAAAATGAACAATTCTTGGACTTTCTAACGAGGGAACGTCTCCAAGTGATACCAACCATGCGAGTTCATATTGCGCTCATAAGTAGGACACAGTGAGACTAGAAAAGGCCTTAAAGATTTCGTGCTATTAGGGGTTTCTTTCAAAGTTATGACCGTTTTACTGAATTTTCGACCTTGAAACAAGGAATTTATAGAAAAACTGACTGAAGGAATTTCGAACTGAAATTTTCCCCAACAATAGGTCTCATCGATGCTAGAAGGTTCTAAAATTTTTCGTGAAAACGGATGCATCATTCTTTAGATATTGCATACTGATGAAAACGACCAGTTTCCAAAAAAATGTCGTAAAATTGACTTCTCTTCAATATTCAATATCTTGAGAGTGATGCATCCGTTTTCACGGAAAGTTTTAGAACCTTCTAGCATCGATGAGACCTATTGTTGGGAAAAATTTCAGTTCGAAATTCCTTCATTCAGTTTTTCTATAAATTCGTGGTCCCAAGGTCGAAAATTCAGTAAAACGGTCATAACTTTTCTCTCGTTAGACTAAAAAGGTTCATATAATGTTATGCTATCAATAAATGCAATGAAATTTTGGCTCGTCTAGGTGTTAGCTCTCTCAGTCTTTCAGCAACGCCACAAAATTATTAGAAGAAAAAAAATTGTAGTTTCATTACAAGAATAAAATATTGATAATATTTTTTATTTGAATAAAGACAGGGTTGTATTCAGAGAACTTCGAATGCAAGAATGCATACGAGATATCTTCTGAATCAAGAGCAGAAAAAGATATACTAATTGTGATAGTATTGAAACGCAAATACTTTTTTTTCTTTCATAAAATGTAGATTTTTGTTGACACACTATTTCTGATTCATCTATTATAGTCAAACTAAGATGTTTTTGACACCAGTGAGTTTTTTTTTCTTTCTATAAGAGGTTTTTGGGTTAAATTGTATATTTATTTATCAGCATAGATTGAAGTAGAAGATTTTTCCTTTCAACGGTTGAGATTAAAGAAACATGCAGCTATTAAGAGCTACTGGTTTGCACTTAAAACTACTGAAATATTCTACTCAATACCTGAATTATTAGTTCTCAAGCAAGTGCATTTGATGATTTCAGGTGTCGATATTCAAACTTTCTCGATGGGTAATATCTTTTGAGTTTCACAAATGAATTTGTAAAGTATTAAACGTCATTTATAAGTTTTTATAAATTTGAGAATATCTGTGCTGTACATAGAAACAAATGAACCTATTTGCAATGTAGTTTCTTCGTTTTCGTTTACAATTTTAAGATCGAAATATTGAAGAAGAAACAACAATAACTAGTTCAGTAATAGCTTTATCTCTTGCAAAATCATCAAAAAACCAATGATGCTGTTAGATAACGATGTACACAAATCACAGAGATTTTCATTGGCAGATATGAAAGATCAAAACAGTGCGCTTACATTATTCCAAGACTTGAATAGCGTGAAGATTAAGATGTGATCCTCAGTTGAAGTTTATCACTGTGACCTCGCACATTAATAACAGGTATGCACATTCATGAATAATTTTCTAGTAATGTTTAATACATACGCTAAAAGTATGACCTTCACGATATTTCGTTAAAAGACGCTTATTCATTAGTTTTTACAAGTATTCTTATGTCCCTTGAAGGTTATTTATTCAGTCAGTTCGCATTTCTTTTCAATAGTATAAATAATGCTGAATCTAACAAAACAGATGTGAAGTTCGTTGGCAATGCATGAAAAAGTTGTTGAATTATAAATCAAATTGTTTACTATATTGAATGAATCACACCGTTTCTTTACTCTTATGCATGCAAATGATTCTTCCAGTTGTATTACTTTCAATCAATAATAACTTGAAGGGCACCGCAACATTGATTTAGTGTAATGAATACCCGAGCCTAGTTTTCTATATATTGAAAGGAATCGCTGTAGAATAGACTTATTTCTTCTCACAAGCAATCTCATTCACCTTTTCTTTTTGTTTTACCAAGATTAAGATCAGTATTTATCGAAATTTATCTTTCAAGTGAACAAAAAATGTGGTACCATATTTCATTGCTGATGACTGCGACTCACATCATCTTGGGTTTAACGCCTACACGCGAATATGCAGTTAGAAGAGATATTTTAGTAGGTGTAAAAGCGCCTGAATTTTCGATCTTCGATAAAAGTGGAAAGAATCTTCAATATCGAATCGAATCTAAATACTTAGGACTCCAAAAAATAGAACTCGTATCTTATCCTTCCAAGCAAGTTGTAGGTCGACTCAATAGTAAAGTTACGTGGTTTTTATACGAAGCAACATTTGAAATACTCAATTCTCAAACACAACAGTGGATCACTGGCAGTATTAATCAGAAACTCCAGATTTTAAATCACAGATCTGTTATTGAATGGAATGGACGGCGAATTCTGATGGAACACAACATTGCTTCATTGACGACTCGTTTTCTCGATGATCAACGAGGTGGTCAACTTGTAGCAGAATATAAAGTATCTCTTGCTTCTATGTTTTGGGCAACAAAGTACTCGTTACAAATTTTCAGTAGTGATTTGCCGGATGCCTTATTTATATTTGGTCTGTCCGCTCGCGATTACATCATCACAAAAAATAGTCAAAAAAAAATAAATCAAAATATTTAGTCTCATTATCATTTTAGTATCACCAGTTCGTATCACTATTTATTAATAAATATGCAAGACACTCATAAAATTTCATTGTTAATACTTTTATAATAAAAAAAAATGATATGAATAATTTTTCTCTCAAAATAAACAATACAATTCTAGTTTTCTTTTTCTTGGCTGACTTATACGAGCGAGCGAGAGATAGGTAGATAGATAGTGATATTACTCTTTATTAATAATTAAAGGAACACAAGAGTTTTATCTTTAAATAAAACTTTTAACCAATAGCTGATGTTCATTTCCAATAATTTTGACGAACGTATCGAAAGATAAGATTATTCCATCGGTCAAAAATATAGTTGATTTCAATTTGCAAATAAATAAACATCGTATCTGCGCATTTTAATATGAAAAAAACTTTTCGTTACAAAGTAAATGGAAACTGTTAGAAGCCGTTATTACACAAAAAGAAGAGTTCAAGTGTTTCATTCGACCTATTTAAAATGATGAAAAATGAATCTCGATCTACAGTGATATGAAACAGTTTTTTCATACTAACGTTGTAGACAGCAGAGACGACTTGTTTAGCAAGGACACCTATTGAAAATTTTATCAATAAAATAAGCCAATTTACTGGTCGATTGAGTACACTCTCGTTTAACCAATAGGATAAGCAGTACTGCAGATAGATAGATATATAATTAAAACTAATATACAAAAATCAATTTTAAGACGAAAAAGAAAACATATTTTTACTATTACGAAATATGCCTACAATACTCTTGATCGATTGCTCGTTGGGTATGGCTGAACGTTTTTCGTTTGTCGCTAAACAAGAAAATAATATGGAAACTACGATGAATATTGAAAAACGTAGTTTAGTAGCCAAACTGGTCGAATCATTGATGACCAACACCAGCAGTCCTACTAAACTTGAAACAATCGCTCTGGTAATTTAGATTTTTAATTTTTTTTTTTGATATTTTATTGCTTGGTTTATTTTAATGTTTAGGTATTGTTTGCGGGCCATGATACAATTAGAATTGTGCAACATTTTACTAAGAATACTGATGATATCATAAAATCGGTTCAAAAACTTCCAATATTTGGTGATCTATCGTTAAAATCAGCTATTGACTTTGCTAAGAAATATTTAACAACTACATTTGGTGCCCAACGTTCACAAAAAGTTTGTTACACACATTATTCTACATTAGATAACACCGATTGAGATAACTTATGTTTAGATTTTAGTTTTTACAGATAGTTCACATCGTGAAGATGATCCAATCCATGAAAATACCTATAATAATAAAGTTGACCAAATGGATGTAGATTTACGTAAACAGACAACAAGTGATGAACAAGAAAAAACAACACTGTCGAATTCACCTACGGATATTTCATATGTATGTATTCGACAGCCATCGAGTATTGATCGAGCACGACTAGAAGATATTACTGAACAAGCTCAATGTTCTTTTTCGAAACTTTATTGGTTGATAAATCGTGACAAAGAGAATAATATAATAGTAACTAATGACATGATTCAGCATGTTGTTACTGAGATAAAATCTGACTCGACGGATGTATTTATTTCAATTCTTAAATGTGGTCATTATGAATCTCAACTTGCTGTTTATCCAAAAATAATACCCGCAATATTGTACGTTAATGATCTTGCTAGAATAATTGAAAATAAATATTGATTTTATTTTTAGACAAACAACAGGCGAATTACTTCAGCCGTCAAATACATTAACAGTAAATGGTTTTATTGAATTATCATCCATACGTAGTGCAATGGCAACATCAAAACATATACTTCTACCGATTCAACGTTATATTCGACCACAACCAACTGTGCCAATGTTTGCAACGAAAAAATCTGCAGCATCAACGGCGAGTGCAAATTCTTTAGCTACTCAGAGAAAATCAAATACAGCAAATAATTTCTATTATCTTTTACTTATATCATTAAAAAAAGAAAAATCAGCTGCATTAGTTTCCGTAAATGATCAATGGTTTGGTGCGATACATTGCCAAAAATTTGAACGAAAAAAGAAATCTAGTCGGCTTATTCTGTCTGTATTTGAGCCAGGTGATTGCATTCCATGGATATCTAGTTTTGAACGTCTCGGACCCTATGCAGTAGTATTTCCGCCGATAAATAATGGTGAATTAGTATATAAAAAACAACCTTGGCCAGTAAAACCATTCCCGAGAAGTTATACAGAAACATTTTTAATTTGGTGTCGACATAATAATTTTCAAGTAAATATTTTCTCGCTATCTACCGTATCATTTATATACATAATTTACATTTCTCATAGAATGATATCAATAAATTTGCTCGTGCTTCAGCAAAACTACCTGATAAAGTCAATATATTCCATCGAGTGAGTATCATCGTTATTCATTTTTCAAAAACGCTAGAGAATATTCTCTCATTGATGAAGGATGTTCTTCACTACTATTGTACACAAGTTGTTTTGTTGGTTAATCTAAAAATAAAACGGATTCTTCTGTTTTATAGAAATGATACTAAATAATTATTTTTCTGTTTAGGAATTAAATAAAATCTGTCGTGGTGCATTTATCTATGGACTTCGTGAGCGATTATTTGTTTTATTGCGACAATTATTTCAACAACAGATACAAATGGGTAAAATAAAACCAGAAGGTGTAAAATACGTTCAAAATGTTATTATGTATATGAATCGTCTTGGTACATCAGATCGTTATATTAAATATGAAGAAACTTCAACTTAAATAAATAAATAAATAAATGAATTTTTTTCTTTTTTATTTGTATAGAAACATATATATGATGAAACTTGTTCATTTCAGATAAAAATGTCAAACGATCTTGATTATTTTCCTCGTGGAGCATCAACAGCACAAGACGAGACTAAATCGGAAAAATCTCGAATTAATCGCGTTGATCGTGACGATTTATTTGTTGGGACATCATCGAAACGAAAACGTTCGAATTATGATTCACAAAAACTCAAAGTAGAACAAAACAAAAAAAAGAAGAAGTCAATTGATGGCGAAGATCGTCAAGAAACATCATATAGACGATTACATAAACAAGTTTGTTGAAAAACTTTCCTTTAGTAGAGAAATAGCTGATCTTTTTTGTTCAAATAGAATCTTACTGATGGTGTTCTTATGTGTGGTTGCATTGAAAAAATTTCTCCATATGAATTACGTGTGAGTTTGCCACATCAAAGTATTGGTTATATTCCAATAACAATGATCTCTGATGAATATACTAAATTAATGCAAAAGAAAATGTCATCAATGTCAACGAGCAATGAAGATGATTTAGATAATCTATTTCATATCGGTCAATATGTTATTTGTCGTGTTATTCAAAATGAACCGGCAAACGAAAATGACAAACCGAATCAAAAGAAACGTTTACATCTTTCAATTAATCCAAAGGATGTTTGTGATCAAATCGCACCTGATAATCTTGTTAAAGGAATGGTAAATAGATTTTAAAAAGCATATACATTAATAGAACAAGAATAAGTTGAAATTTGTTTAGATTTTACCTGGTGTTGTATCAAGTATTGCCGATCATGGTTTTATTATTGATATTGGATTTTCACACAGACAAGGTTTTTTACTAAATGATAAACGTTTAAATACAGGTAAATTTCACTTTCAATCCAACCAAAGGAAACACGACCTAAGAGAACTGTTGAAGCATAGATGTAAAGATACAGGCTACATTTCAAAAACGATTTACTCTAATATATTAAATACATAGATTTGTAATTCTTTTCTCGAAAATTTTAAAAACAATATCGAGGAAATATTTTCTAGAACAAAACAGATTTCTTGTAATTAGCAATAGTATTTCACTAACATATTTCTATTTTATTTTTAAGAACCATTAAAAGTTGGATTTCATGGTTTATTTCAAATAAAGGAAACATCATCAACGAACTCTCGTATTATTCCATTGAAGATGCTTGATAATAAGAAAACACGATCAGTATGTAATTAGTAAATCGTTTCCGACAGTTTAATTGAAGAATGTATTTTTAGGCAATGCCACCAACAAAATTACCTTTTCATATGCTTTTACCTGGTCTTAAATGCAAAGTGACTGTGAATAAAGTAACTTTCATGAAAACCAAAAATAGTCAAACATATCTTTCACTAATAATTAATTATCTATTTTGTTAGACTCGTGTCAATGGTCTTGAAGTATCATTCGGTGAAGTTAAAGGATTCATTCATTTGCAAGATTTGGAAACATTAAAAACTCCAATCGAAGATTTTTCTTCTGAACAAGAAGTGATTAATATTCTTATTAAGATCTGTGTCATACAACTAGAGTTTACTTTTTTAGCTTGAAGCAATCATTGTATCAATTGATCCAACAACAAAATTAATTCATTTTTCAATGCAAACACATTTACTATCATTAAATACGCCACCACCCATACTTGAAATTAATAATAACGATCAAACAACAGCAGTAGTTGGTTCTATTCAAAACTGTGTTGTTATTCGTAATATTGGATCATCAATTGCTATTCGAATTCCATCATTGAGTCAATATGGAACCATCTCAGCAGTTCATTTAACCGATGACAAATATGATGATCTTCAACAAGTGTTAGATTCATTCAAACCCGGTCAAAAACTTCAGTATAATACTATTTTTCCGTGAATTTCATTCGAAATGTTTTTCTTTCATTTAGATGCCGAATAATCGGAATTTCGCTAGCAAGTAATTTAGCAATATGTACTTTCAAAAAGTAAAAATAACAAAAAATATTCAATTAAATTTGCTTTTATTATCTTTAGGAGTATTATGGAAGCACCTTTTATTAATTATTCTAACATTGAAATTGGCAGTTTAGTTAAGGTAACGCAGAATTTTATTTTACAACGATTACATATATTTTTCAAGAAAATTGGAAATCGAACTTTTACGGCTTTTTTTAAGATTTCAGAAGTTGTACTTACTTCATTTTTTACCCTAATCTATTTTTTGAATTAAACGAAGTCTTGCTTCTTCGCCTTAACTATTGCTAGCATAAAGCTAAAGGGCATGTTATAAAATTCTGTAATCTGTATAGGGTTCTATAAATCATGTTGATCAACATGGTTTAATTATAAATTTAACAAAATATGTCAATGGTTTTGTACCAATTATTCATAATGCTGACATACCAATAAAAGAAGCGTTAAATAAATTTGCATTAAAGAAACAAGTGCAATGCCGAGTAAGTTGTTTTCTTGACGAGATTTTTTGACCAAAAAATAAAATAAAACAATCAATTACTCATATAGGTTTTACAAGTTGATCCATCACGTCAACGACTTATATTAACAATGAAAAAATCTTTAATAAATACAAAAATACCAATAGTTTATTCATATAATGATTTACAAGCAAATCTTATTACCATTGGTGTTATTATATCAATTCAAGATTATGGTTTACTTGTTAAATTATTTGGAGATCTATGTGGTCTAGTACCAAAAACTGAAATAGGACAATTACAAACATTGGGAAATACAAATATTAAAAGTCAATTGCAACAAATGTTTTACGTCGGACAAACTGTATCGTGTAAAGTAATGAATTTCGATGAAGAACACAAGAAAATTACATTGAGCTTGAAAGTAAATATGAATTTTATTTTATAGGAATAGAATCTTGAAAATTTTCTCTTAAAGTAAATTACATTTCGTAGATTTTAATGATACTTTCTCATCATCATAGACGGAACGACTACCAGAAGCTATTCCGATCATGTCTATATAAAAATAAAAAAAACTTACTTAATACTTCTTTCTTTTTTGATTATGTCATTCGTGTATTGGCAGTTTTTCAACGTATCTCTCTGGATTTTCCCTCTGATCGATATGATCTGTAAAACAGATTTATTGCGATGATGACTGTGAGATTTGTAAATAATCAGCTCGTATACACATGACTCCAGCATAGTTGCTAATTTTGATCTCCACTCATGAAAGCTATGTAATTCTTCAAATACAAAATAGCTTGATACATCATTTTAGGTTCCTGGAAAAATGACTTTCGGTAGTAAATTGGCACCGGTACCTGCTGATTTCTCAATTGGAAAAGTAAGAAACTCGATTTTGCTTTGCTTATCATTATCAAGCTGATTTGTTCCGTTAGGTTATTCAATGGACAGTAACTGAATGTGAAAGTAATGAACATTTAATTGCTAATGTTATTACAGAACGTCGACGAAAACCAATAACAGTAACATTAACACGAAATCATACATCAGATTTTGTTGAACATCAATCTCTATTAATGCATCTTGATTTATCATCGAAAAAAGATCAACAACGTGATGGTATCTATTGGTCTCATTTATCTTATATAAATATTTCGATGAGAAAAATCCTAATCGAATTTTGTCGACGATCAACTCTTCCACAAAAGTTCGACGATTGCATTGTAAATTTTCTTTATTAATTTTTGTGTTCATTGCGTTCGATTAACCGTTTTCTTAGGTTGGATCCATTGTTCCGGGTGTTATTCAAAATATTTTTGAATATGGCCTTTTTATTGATTTACCAAATAGTATTATCGCTTTTGCTCCACATAAACATTTGGATTTACATGGTTCATTGGAAAGCATAGAAAAAAAATATCGAATAGGTCAAACAGTATTCGTTCGAATCTTACAATTAGACGAAGGAAAACAACGTTGCATTGTTTCACTTAAATCACTAATGTATGATGGTGAAATAGCAGAATTAAATCAAACTGATTATGTATTAAAATGTTATCTGGATGAAAAATATCAATTAATTCAAGATATGACACAAAACGGAACAGGTAAAAACAAATATTCAAATTGCATACAGTAACATTTTCAACTAAGAATTCGAGAAATGTTGCTAGACTTGAAATCAATGATTAGTAATAGACTTGTTTTTGGTTTCTTTCTACTAGGTTTTCTAAAATTGTTTTGTTACTTTCTCTTTTAAAAGTTCTGACGGTGTTTAATATTTTTAGGTCCACTATCGAAATTTTTTCAAGAAACCAAAACATGGATTGGTTTTAAATGTCGATGTGTAATTGAAAAACGTGTTGATGATTGGTTTGTTGGTCGACTGGAAAATGGTCTGCCAGCTACTTTGCCATATGATGCACATTATTCAATTGGAGATTCCATTGAAGGTTATATCATAGATTTTAATCTACCAGCACAACAATTCATCATTACAATGGATCTAAAAAAGCCAATTAAATATTCAACAAATTCTTCTCAAACATTTACTCAATGTACTATTCTTTGTCAATTACCATCCTATGCATTGGCAATAACTCAAGATTCCAATCAACTTGTTCATTTGCCAACATTTTCTGATTTGAATTCTTTCTATTCAATTTCATCAACAGCTTCCTACAAACGTACACAACAAATAGACATAACACCAATCAAACCTTATAGATCGGAAGAATTTCATTATTTCATTGTTCCATTTCAACAGAAAAAATCTTCAATTCAAAATTACCAATCTAATGAAACCGTACCGGTAACTATAATTGATGTTTTACCAAAACAATTAAATGTTAAATTAAATGATGGTTCTCGTGGTCGTATTCATATAACAGAATTATTCGATAATCCATCAACAGAAAATTTGCAAAAGTTAAATGATCTTTATCATGCAAATGAAACATTAAATGCACGAATTATTGGCACACGAAATATTGAAGCAGATTCTAAACATAAAAAACCTGTTTATGAATTGTCTCTTCGTGAAAAACCATGCGAGCCATTTGAAATCGGTGATCGCATTATAGGATTTTTTGATAAAGTTGATGAAAAAACAAGAGGTTCATGGTTTTATTTATCACTTCATTTACGTGGTTATGTTCCACCGGAATTTATATCAAAACAGTTAACTACAGGACAATGTTCAGATTTAACAATCATGAATAAAATAGTTAATGACAAAGGTGAACATTATACATTATCAATGTTTGATAATAATCAATCAGACTCAAATATTGTTTTTGCGCAATTTAAAGAATTAAAATCAGCAAATGAATTTCATTTTAATATTACAAAAGACGATGAAAATTATCAAGGGATATTAGTAGCAACTGATGTTTCTGATGTCTTTGAAAATTTTGTTTTTTGGAATTATTTAATGAATGTTAAACCTCCAGTGTTAATCAATGGTCAATTACATATGAAAAAAGAATTGTGGAAATTTAAAAATAAAACGATACGAGCATTTGTTAAAGAAGAAAATAAAGAAACGAAACAAATGATTTTATCGACAAGAAAATCAAAGTTTGTTGTTTTTACTCTAAAATATTTTAAGATCGTTTGTTTGTATTTAATTAAAGGTTGGAAAAAAATCATTTGGATCTAATTGATGATGAAATTGAAAATATGGAACAAATTTCAATAGGTGATATTCTTCATGGTTATATCGATGTATTAACAAATCGTCAAATAACATTATTATTGGGTTCTGGTAAAACAATTATGGGACATGTTGACAAAGTTTTTAATAGAACATTGGGTGGACATTTACGAGAATATTTAGATGTAGGCATGGTTGTCGAAGCCGTCGTTTTAAAGTAGAAAGATTTGTTTGGAATTTTTCAGCAGAAAACTAATTTTTTTATTTGTTTTTAGTATTGACAAAGAAAAAAAGAAATGTCAAATGAAATTAACGGATCAATGTATTCAACAAATCGTCTCAAAACGTTCGAAAACAAATCGTCTTTCTAGAGCAAGTAGTTTGGTGAGATACGATCATTGTATAAAATTATTATGCAACTAACATAACATGGAACATACAAAAGAATACAATAGCCATATGTTCATTTGAGTATTTTGTCATTGGTAGCACAGCTTGTGAATAGAATATCATGAAAATGTTGATTCTAAAGAATTTTTTTTACTGCGAACTAGAGAATTGCCATACGAGATCTCATGAAATAGACTTTATTTTCAGCCAAGATCTTCAGAATACTCTAATTGCATAAAAATTTATCTGATAGGAAAGGTATATTAGAAATTTTCTTCATTTTTCAATTATGACCGTGTGAAGACAAAAAGACTTTTTTTTTAATGAGCGTCGCATTCATTAGACTCAACATCTGTTCAATTCTTCATATGAGAATGCATGAAAGACAACGGTAGACTTAATCAAGCTTCTGTCTGATATGGCCATGTTTCAAAAATCTGAAAATAGAAAAACTAGTTCAAGAACTATTGATATTCTTTTTTCGAGAGACTTTTCGCGTTGATGTCTGCTGATACCGAGTTGGTGAATATCATCTAAAGCCTCTTGGTGTGAGCTCAGAAATAATAGATAGTAACTTTCCAATTAATAATTCACTTGACATGTTCGAAAATAAAATTTACTGCCAATAAATCATTCGATCGAATAACTTCATTTGGATTTAGAATGGTTCAATTGCCGGTGATGATGATCACGATATTGACAATCAAGAATTACATGCTAAACTTTTAAAAACAGATGATGAATCGAAAAAATCAAATACTCTTGGTAATGACTTGAAATTCGATTGGGATGATGATTTATCAGCATTACGTCCTTCAACTGATGATAACGATATTGAACAAATGGATGACTCGATTTCTTCAATAAGAAAAATAAAGAATGATTCGCACGTTTCATCATCAAATAATCAACAACGTACTCAAGAAGAGTATGAAGCACTTGTTAGACAGGCACCTAATGATTCCCAATTATGGATTGAATATATGCAATTTTATATTGATCAAGCTGAAATTGATCGTGCACGAGCTCTAGCCGAACGAGCTTTAGTTAGTATTTTCTATCGGTAAGAAATTTGTTCTTTTTTTCTATTCAACATCTTGATGGATTCTCTTTTTTTTTCGAAGTGAGGAACGCGATAAATTAAATATATGGATTGCTTATATGGGCCTTGAAAATCGTTATGGTACACCAGAAAAAGTGAATGCAATATTAACACGAGCTTTAGGTAACTGTGATGGTGCTAACGTTTATCAAAGATTAGCATGTGATGTTTATGAGAAAAACGAACAATACGAAGTAATATTAAATTTTCAAAATCAATTATTTTATGAATATTATTTTTCTAGGATGCTAATGCTACATTTGGATTATTGATAAAAAAATTTAATAAAAATAAACAAGCTTGGCTCGAATATATCATGTATCTATTTCGACGTCATCAGACTGAACAAGCAAAAACAATACTTGATAAATCGTTTGCAAGTTTATCATCAACAGATCGTATGAAAAGCATCTTTTTTTTGTTGAAGAATATTTTAATTTCAATTATTTCTTTGTTTAGATGTTGAAATGATTAATAAATTTGGCCAATTAGAATTCAAATATGGTGATAAAGAACGTGCTAAAACTGTTTATGAAAAATTACTTGCAAGCTATCCAAAACGCACTGATCTCTGGTCGATTTATATTGATATGTTGATCAAATATGATGCAGACCCATTAATTGTTGCAAGGTATTTTCTCGATAGATTCTAATCAGTGCCTCATAAAGACTTTGTGAACAAAAACTCAATAATGTGAATCTACAACATAGATATTAGTACTATTATTTTGAAATTGTATGTATATGGTCATGTTGAAGATTCTCTCTCTCTGCGTAATTCTAAAAATTGAATTAGAGCAGGTTTCAGTCGGATAATAGATTAAAATAAAGACTGACACTATCACTTACAGAGACAAAGACAAAAGCTTTTGGAACGTGACACTTTTTCAATCTACTCGTTTCATTAGCTCTTTACAAATAAAATCTACTAGTCAGTTGGCATTAGAGATATAAATTTGTTCGGAATCCAATGCAAAAAGTTTTTTTTTGAAGAAAAAAAGGTCGTCTAATATTGAATAAAATAGCGGAGCACTATTTAGAATAGATTTATGCAGTATATATTTATTAACAATGAATTATTATTTATTTGATGTAGATCAATTTTCGATCGAGTACTTTCATTGAATATTCCACCGAAGAAAATGAAATTCTTAATTAAAAAATATCTTCAATTTGAAAAACAACATGGTACAACAGCTGATGTCAATCGTGCAAAGGAACGCATCACTCAATATGTCAACACAAATGATAATAATAATGATACAACTAACTCCAATATGGAAACCGATGAGTTAGATTTTTAATTTGTTTTAATAAGACATTTGTTTTTTTATGTCTTATTATTTGTTTTTGTTGTTTACAAAACGAATAAAAATATCGTTGAAAATAAACAGTAAAATCTTGTTTGTCACTTTTTTAACGAAGAATTATTTTGATGGTGTTATATATATATATATATACACGAAGAGAAGAAAAAATAGAAAGACTGATATTCAAGTAGTAGTGCGCCCAACCATCCTCTCGATTTTCTCGGCTAAGATGCACAACGGGGAAAGAAGGGCAGCCATGTTGGTTCATGTCTCTTTATTACTTTGTCTCTCTTTCTCTTTTCAGATAGCGGTGCACTGTTATATGTGTTGACTAAGAGTCGTTTCCCGCCTCCTTTTTTCCTCGTCTTCTTTCGCTCGTTTTTTTTCGCCATCATCAGATAAAACACATTATGACAATTTTTTTTATTTTGTATCTGTTCGTCTGTCGCATAGATGAAAGTATCGAACAGCATATACCTCTGTTTTCATATTATTATTATTGTTACTATTAGAATAGACAGAAATATTCGAGAGGAAAAAATTGATATTGGTAAGGCAAAGAAAAACAAGGTGATCAAGCATGAGTAGGATTACTTTGAAAAGTAAGCGTGTCGACTAGTCGTCTATGCTATCTCATTAGTATTTCTTTCTCTGAGATTCTGTAAGAATAATATAAAATGCATTTTTCTGATTGAGAACTATTTTGTTGAGTTGACGAAGAAAATGTTTGGTTTGAATAAAAATTCTCGTGAGTTTACAACGCAATCTTTTCTAGTTTTTTCTTTTGTTGAATATTTTCATTTCTTTTGCTCAAATAGTTCTTTTTTGAAATTAAATTTTTTTTTGAAATTCTCATTTTCAGATGCAATAAAACACTTAAAATCTATTGAATTAATTTGGATTGCATATTTTTCTTTTCCTCTTCGGATATAACATAGATTATTAAATCTTAATGGATAATATTACACTACAGAAACAAGTTGAAAATCTTCGACAGCAACTAAAAGTTGATCGAGTTCCACTATCAAGGACCTTGATGGAGTGAGTACTCTTTAATATTATTGTATCATCATTTTCTTTTCGTATTGGCATCGGCCTTTTGACTTAGTCAGATCAAGATTATCCTAAATGTATATATTTCATAGGGAAATGCGTTTATTACGAGTATTTTGTATGGCGTCACCAGATATTGTTCGTTCTTTTATTTTTTTTCTTTCTCTTTTTCAGTCCCGTACTAAAAGCAACCCGACTGCAACAACGTCGGAAAAGAAAAGATATCAGAGATGAACTTCTACACTATCGACCGATAGAACGAGAGAGAACGACTAATAATAGTATCTCGACGAAAAGCAGTAGTAAGAAATACGAGAAGCCGAGCAAGAAGCATCTTGGGCTCGTTCATAGTCTGTCTGTGTTTGAGTGGTAATAGCGGTACATCGTCGCTCTTTTTCTTCTCTTCTCCCATCGGGTCTTATTCGTTCTACTTGCTCGATGCACACAGACACACGAGTAACACAGTATGTTGCCCGATTCTTTTTCGCGCGCGTTTAACTTGCTTGATGTTTTGTTTGCTAGCTGGAGCTTACATGCTATTCTTTTCTTTTTTTCCAGAACATATCTACATATAAACAGTAGTTTTTTTTATTGCCGCTTTTGTTGCGTTCTCTCGCTCTCACTCAGTTTTTTCTTGTCTCGTTCTTTCTTTCTTTTTTTCTTCGTGTTTTTCACTCGAGAGCGTGTGTTTGTCCATCATCATTTTTATATTATTTATTGGGTGCGTTATTTGTACTCTGAGAATCAATATATCAACGATTAGAAAAGGATAGTTTATAAAGAACGAACAATGGATAAAGGTTCATTACAAAAACAAATTGAATCATTACGATATCAATTACGAGTGGAAAAAGTTCCTCTATCAAAAACCCTGCAAGAGTAAGGTTTTTTCTCTATTTTAATGAATATTTGTCTAAGTAAAAAATGATGAAAAAACAATTTTTTATATTATTTTCTTTGTTTTCATTTAGATTGAAACGGTACATTCAAGAAAACGAACAAGCTGACCCACTGATTCATCCACCGGATAAGAAAAACAATCCATGGGCAGAAAAAAGCAAATGTACGGTCATTTAAATATTTATATACATATTTATAAATATACTTCAACAAGAAAAAAAATTTAACTGTTAAAAGACTTGTTGCCTCATTTTGTTTGTCTCTGATTAATATCTATGATTTGTACTGCTGTTTCGTTTGTCGACTATAATGACTGATCGAGTGTCTTGTGTAACGAATGTCTGGTTCTTTCTGTTCTTTCTTTTTCTTCTATCTTTCTCTAGTCGGTCAGATCGTGTGTATTTCTATGATGTTGATGACAACAATATGAGGATGCCATAATTCCTTACAGTCGATCTGCAGTAGTCATCACTATTCTGTGGCTGTTGTCTAATGCTTATTTTTTTCTCCTTTCTACATTGAGAAAGTTTTCGTTTTTTTTTGCTTAGCTGAATGTGCATATGTCGATGGTATTAATTGTACTCTTTTACTCTCATCAGTGAGTGTCTTTATTGCTCTCTGTTGTTTTTAAATAGGGATTGACGATTTCTAGTGAGAGTTCATTCTTTCTATTGTCTTTAAAATACTTTTTCTTTAATTAATTTTGAAAACAATTTGAAAGTTTTTATGAGAAAACCGACGAATGGTAATATGTAACTAAGCATGAACTGAGTTATGTCGAATTTTTATTGAATTATCTTGTATTAATCTATCAGTTTGTATATTTTATGAAGAAAAAAGCATGCTATTACTATAATTGATGATTCGATGAATATGTACACGAAATTATCTATAAAAAATACGATTTAAAAAAAAAAGTTCGAATTATTAAATCACGTTTACTTTCGTGATACAATCTAGGAAAGGCGACATGACTAGTTATTCATAGTCATATACTATCTATGTTTGAAACCCTTCTGATCCTTAGTAATACTCTTTTCTTTCTATCTCCTAGATACAATCATGATTAACATATGCTATACATTTCATTGATCGGTCCCGAAATTAAATTATATTATGAAATGAAAATTATTTTCTAGAGTTAACTTGCTAGCTTGACATTAAAAAAGCTACCTATTAATAGTTTGCTTTTCCGGTGTGTAACGAAGCAAATGTAACAAGATGAACAGAATAAGATAAAATTCTTACTCCCTAATGAATAATAACAGAGATAAGAATCAATGAATTGGAATTGTTGAATATGGAAAAATAAAACATTTACTTTCATATTTAGTTGTTGTATTCTGATTTTACTAAATTTCTCTTTTATTCTTTGGAGTAGTTTTTCTTTTTGACGAAGACGATTTCTTAAATCTTTTATGCATGAACACAGATACTAGATATCTACTCGCGAAGGAAATATGTTTAGTAATTTCGTAAAATAAAGAATGAATATCGAAACTATCTTTCTAATCATTAGTAATTATGCTGGTGGTAGTTACGGAAATTTCCTTCTTCCGGAAATCTAAGCACATCTCTCGGTCTCATATAGAAATGATTCTATAGTGAAAAAAGTAATAGGAGAATCACGCGATGATTTTTGATTTGTTACTTATTAATTAAGAATTTTACTAGGAAAATTTGTTTACAGTGTTATATAGTTAGGTTAACTCGACGCATAGATAAAAATTCGTATATGAGGCCAAATTGTAAAACTATAGTAAAGAACGGAAAATTTGATTCTTGTATATATGTTCAATGAAAGTAAAAGAAAGAACTTTATTGAATTTTAATGCCGGAGGATAAAGAGTCAATGAATATAGATGGTAATACATAATAACTTTGTATTTCTATTTAATAACTGCCAAGAGGAATTTAAAATCAAGGTCTATTATTCTTTGTTTTGTTTTTGGCCCACTGAATACATTTTATCGTAATGGAATAATAACTACAGTCTTTCAGCAACGACACACAATTTGTCGAACTTCTATTGAAAAATGAGTTAATTCAAGGTGAATACATGCGTGCTGTTGAAAGGAATCAATTCTTTTCTAACACATTTCATATTGACTTCTATAATGGAACTAAAAGGATTTTGTCGGAAGATTTGCACTTAATACATTTGTTTTTCTACCTACGCAGTTTTATCTTTAACAGAATCTAAAATAAAAATATAGTTCAATTCGAACGTTTATTATTACACATTGTGGTTCAATACAAGGACGACTTTTTTGTAAAAACAAATGCCATAGCTATGAGAAGAGTGTTAACTTTTTTTCTAGACTGTTTCTCACTTTGCTTTAATATATTTCTAACCAGTAAAATATGTAAGTGCCGTTTTTTTATGTTTAATTTAAATTTTCATTTACGGATGAATTTAATATATCGAGCGACATTATTCATAAACATTACATGTAATAGACGTGAAATATTGCCACAGCTGTTACATGTTTTTCATCGTAATAAAAATATTGAATTATCAACAAGAAACTAAAGAGAATTGTCCTCCAATTTATTTAGTTCTATGATTATAAAGTTCTTTTTCGATTGCATATTTCAATTTTAGCTATATTCATATCTACGATTGCTACAGTATTTTCAAACACAATTCGAATTCATAATCAAATCAATACGTAGTAGGAAATCATTGTTATTTCTTTATAGAAAATTTAATCAAAGATAGAAAACTTCATTTAAACTATATATGAAAGTATCGAGATCGAACTTCTGATATATTTTTTCTAATTTTCAATCTGACGTTCTGTTCACTCACAATCTGATCTAAGATAATGAATCATGGAGATAATTAATCGAACTAATCAGGCCAAAAAGAATGTCTAATTAATTTTAAGATTGCTTGTTCCTTTTCCGTTAAATTTTTTATTTTTTCGTGTACTCGGCTCGTGCTTCGCATCGTATTTCGTATACGAGTGAAATTCGAATACCATCTAGTTAGTTTATGTTTTCGTGTTCGTATTCGTCGTAGAACAATTCTATCACAT